GGAAGATACACACAGATGCTGACACCAAAACAAGCAGCCACTCAGTAACCCAACCCCCCCTCCCCCCCAGTTCTCTATAAATACCCACAACAGGGTCACCTCATCCTGTGCACAGAGAGAGCTGCTCCTGTCTGTGCTCCTGCTCTCTGAAGATGCCGGTCACAGATGCTGGCAAAACGTTAGGAAACAAAACTTCAAAAACACGGCCACACAGCCCGGAAGACCCACACCAGCCGTCGTATGCCGGCCGTGAAAGCCTTCGACAATACAATGTTGCACTTACCTTGTTTATTTTTAACCCAAATTACAGATTTGTGGAATTGCGTGACACTCAGCATTGGTCTGACTGGAGGGGTTTATGCACCTTGTAAGTAAGTAAATAAGTAAGTAAGGCACTCAAAGCTTCTGTTTGCACAACTTAATTCAGATCAGCTACTAATCCAGTCAAATTTGATTGGCTGCACACAATCATACTAACCAGGTCAGAAATCACTATTCTGGATCATCAGGGGCCCTTCCACTTTTCCCAGGAGCTCCATAATATACCACAATTCTTTGTAGCAAAAGAATACTAGCAGGGCTTCATTACATCATCAGCCATTTCCCCATTGGACAAGTAGGTAGCAGGAAGTATGGAAGGAAAAGAGGAAAACTAGCACTGTTCCATCTCCTGATTCACTCAAAAACTTAAGCCATCCTCCCACTTGTTTGGGATGCCTGCCTGCACTGTTGACTTCCCATCCACCAATTTGCACTACACAACTGCCTCCTACCCCCCAGTCTGGTTGCAGAGATAGAAGACACTGTCAGGGGGAGAGTGAAAAGCCTCACACTGATGATTTGGGTGCTCCTCAGTTGCTATTGGGTACTATGTATTTGTATTCTGAGTTTTAGTCTTAAGTTAACCGTCTAAAGTCGCTATTGCAAGATGGGTGGCCTTAGAAACTGATTAAACAAATAAATAAAACCCACTTGCAGTACCACTCCAGCTGCCCATCCAGATCCCCGCTTCACCCCAAATGGCTCAAGAGAAGAAAAAGATGCTCACACTCCTTGCAAGGGAAAAAAAAGCTTGAATGAAAACCAAGTAACCCAACAGGGAGAGAATGTGAGCAAAGGACAAGCTTCCATCTGCTGAATTTTGTAGACTAAGCCTTTCTGGGTATGATTTTGTTGCCACTCTAATGCAATTTATTTATTGTACCCTTGAAGAAAAAAAGAGCGGTTTTGACATGTTGGGATTTTTGCTTGTTTTCTTCTGGAAACAATTTAGTAAGTTTCATTGTTACTTTGCTCCATGTTCAGCAGATTAAAAAACAACAGCAGGGTTCATTCAGCTTTGCCTCACTTGTTGCCTTGTTTTCATTGTGGTAACACAACATTTAGCTACTGCACCGATGATGGATGGTTTCATGTCTGAAAGAAGGAGGCTTGCATAATAATTATTTGTTCTTCCCGGGTATTGATGCAACATATAACTATTCTAAATATCCCTATGGAAGTTATGGTATAGTAGCATCTGGTGTACCGTTTCTAACTCTCCTAATCTGTAGGGACAGGTGTGCTCAGCTGGTGGGGATTTAGAGTACCTACTCCGTGGAAGTGCAGAAGGAAGGATGTTGTGTCTGTCCACCCCCCAAATGCTTTTTTCTACACGGGAAAGGTAAGAATGTTGAAATACTTTGTAGATACCCAAGTACCCTTTGCAACACAAGTTATGTTGCTCTGTGAGTACTTAATGTGTATGATCCTCAATTTGATGATTGTAAAAAGCCTGATTATTTTGCATTTGTGTCCTGTGTTTTGATTCCACAAGATACAATCATTAACTTATGCAAAGGAACTGCAAAGTTTAAATCCTATTTAAGTTTTAAGTTACTTCTGGGTTAGTTATTCAGTGTGGAACCACTTTACAAAGTTGACTTTTTTAATACAAGGCAACCATGAGATGCACCACGGTTAGATTTGTACTTTTTTCAAACTATTTTTTTTATAACACTTTCTTGGGATTGTGGCAGAGAAGAGAAAGCTTAAAGTTCCTTTCCCTGCCTCCTGTAGTCCAAATAAGAATAGCTCTCTGCACTAAATATTAACCAAAAATAAACAAAAACGTGGCTGCAAGTGAGGCATTTAAAGTAACATGTAGTCAGGTCCTTAATCTGCTCTTTTTGTCAGTAATCTTATTCCAGATTGTGTCATTTGCAACTCTGTTGATTACACACACGCCCATACATACACACTTGTAAACTTCCAGTTAAGACCTGCTGATCACTGAACAGTGGAAAAAAATGGAATCAGTATAAGAGGCAGGTACTGCCACCTGCTGATTATCTTCCTGCACTGCAGAAACTTCACAAAAATGGAATTTAACAACCGTCATACTAAAGTTTTGTTGGTTTGCTTGCTGTGTGTCGTATCATACATCAGATATCGCAAACTTTCCATGTAACAGCATTTGCTTGGTCTCGTTGTTTTGCAGATTTTAGTAAGCAGTTCATTTCTATTAAAGTAAGGGAGAACAAAAGAGTTTCTTATGTTCTATTTCTTCTATAGATTATTTTTGAGGGTAAAAGAAAAACAGGTCTGCCCCTTTTTCCTGTGAAAGGTTACTATAATGTTAACCTCTAGAAGGGAGAAATTAATCAGGTGCCGGTTTCTTGACATTAATTAAGTTTATTTTTAGCAGTATGTCCTTTTTATTAAAGAAGATTTTTGTTATTGTTAACCTAAAACAAATTATTTTCTCTTCCAACCTTTACACATCATTGAACAAGTTGGTTAGCAGTTTATTAACTGTTAAATACCTACACAGCTTGATCTTGGAAGTCTTTGGGCTGAAGGGTGAAATACTAACTATAACTATTACTAGAAGTGAGACTTATGACAAAATACTGCCATGAAAAGTGCTTTTATTTCCTGTTTGAATCAGTCAATCAATTTTGCCCAATTCTGGACTGCAAACATCTAGATTATCAGGTCAAACTTTTTAGCAGTTGTCTAAACCAAAAAAGATTATTTTCCAAGAATGATTCTCACAGAATGTTTCTTTAGCAAGATTTGTTAAGATGGATGGGATGGGGTTGCAAGAATTCTAATAGCTAAACTATTTTTGGTTTAGAATCAATATATCCCCATATATATCAGGGCAGAGACATCCTGATTCTCTTTCTAACAGCCTTCTGATGAGCTGATGGAGATGCTGTTCACTGATAAGGAGGATGTTTGCAGCTGGTTGTTTACCTAACTTTCTTGAATATCTATTGGTATAGGAACAAACTTGATGAATAAGGTAAATATTTGAACCTATCCTGAGATGCAAGTGTGAGTTATACTAAGAAAGCAGAAAAGGATGAGTTTGGGGGAAGGGTGTGGGAAGGTTATGTATATTTCTCCTTTAAAGAGGAAAATACAGTAGCTGAAAAGCTTGGGATGAACTGTGTTGTTATTTAGGGCACAAGTTACATTGAAAGGATTATATCTGTTGCATCTATAAGTCACTTGTACCCCAAGTCCACCCTGCAGTATCTATATCTGAAATAATAATATATATTCATACGTGAAAGGAATTCATGGCTGGTGCACTGAATTTGCCTACCCTGATCAATCAAAATTAGACCATGAATTAGCATGAGGCACTCCCTGTCTGGGAGGTCCTCAGCAACTCTTGGTGACCAGAAATGAAAATGTACTGCTGTGCCTGGCTATCATTAAACGCTGCTGCAGCATTTTAAAAGAATTCCCCAAAATTAAACATCAGGTAGCTGAACCAGTCAGATGCTCTTTGCGGTATGCTCTGTTTGAGAATTCAAGACCAGTGAGAATCTCGCCATGTTGTCACTCTTAAAATTTTCAAAATTAGGAACTAATTAGTTCATTTGCCTTCTGCTTAGGTTTTAAGAGCCATCTCCTCATTAGTGATTTATAGCATCTTAGAGTCTCCAGCACAGTTTTATAAATATTACAGTAATGTTGTTTCCATGATGGCTGGATAATGTTAGAAGAGTGTAGAAGTTACTAGTGAAGAAATGGCCAAGATTTTATTTTAGATCTGGCTGGCTGTTTAAAGTTGCTAGAGGTCCAAGTCCATGGCACAAAGAGGTGATAGGGCATAGATGGAGAGTTAAGGATTTACTCTGTGTCTCTTCCTTGTCTATCACTCTGCCTGCTTTTTGTCTAATAGATTGCTAATCTGAGGTCACTTCTTTCTGTCTTTCTTCCTAGATGTACATGCACAAATTCCATGCTGTTGGATTCTCCCCTAGGTGGGAGGTAAATAACTTGGTGCCAGGCTTTGCCCATCATATTTCCTGTACGTAAATCTCCTTTGTGTTATAATTATAAAACCTGCTTCATTAATTATTTCTCAGGTCAAACTCCTGGTCTCAAGAATGTCTTGTCTTACACATAGAATGCTTCAATCTCCGACAAAGGGTTATTAACTGCTGAGAAGGTATTGATAGTGTAGAAGCAGAGGCAGCAAGGGGATCGTGGAGAAGGAAGAAGCTGAGAAAGAAGCAGTGATGGTGGGGAAGTAGCAGCCAGAGGATGACCTTCTAAACTTGTTTGTTAGCATGACGGGATAAACCTATGTTCACCATTTGGTCCTTTGCAAACTGACTTCGTAAATTGATCTTATATAGTACCCTGAAATCAACAGAATGAAGGACAATACTGACATAGCTGCAACTTCATCCATAGTCACAGATGTACATGGGCGTATTGACCAATATGATATCCTAGAGGCAATCCTAAAATTATAAAAATTCAGGAAAAACAAAAGGCAATAGGATGCACTTTTTACAGAGCTCCGTCAAGTCAATATTTCAGTGCCTTTTTTTGTGGGTTTTTTGGTAACGTGTGTGTGTGTGTATGCAAAACATTCTATAGCAATTTTGAAATTGTTCAGCCAAGAAATGCTGTTCATTTTGTTTCCTTTAGGTCTTTCTGAATTTTGAAAAGTGGATCAGAAAAGGATCAGACAAGAGCATCCTATTGAATTGCTTTTGACATACTGTAATTTACGTTGTTCCACTAGAGGGCTCTCTGTCACAATCAAGAGACAAAAATATAGTCAGTGTTGAGATGAAACTTGCTGAGATGAAACTTTTTCAAAAGTCAGGTAGTATAAACTTTTTTAGGCAACCATCCACTTCATCAGATGGGACTCAGTAACATAATTCTCTTCACTCTATTCCAATCAGTTTCTACTTGTTATTTATCTATCTATCTATCTATCTATCTATCTATCTATCTATCTATCTATCTATCTATCTATCTATCTATCTATCTATCTATATCATTATTGGACCCTCGGATCTTTCCTTACATCCAATTTCCATTCATTCTATTGGGGGATTAATCTAAGACTTTTTCATACATTCAGGGTTTTGCACATTTTTTACTAAAAACTTATTTTTGTTCTTCTGTTAAGATGAAGAGGTGAAGGTGAATGGCTGTGAGTTCACTGTGAAAGTTCAGCTGAGTGCCAGAAGAAGAAAGCAAGGTAGAACACCTGGTTTATGTCATTCAAGAAATGCTGGATCTCACCTCACTGTAGAAAGCTAAGATTTTAATAGCTTCTGTTTACTGTGTATCCACATAGAACGAAGGCATGCAATCTGTAGCGTCAGCTATATATGACACTACCAAGCCATGGGTTCTACCACTGAATTATAATTGTGTCACAGAAAGGGGAAATGATTAAATATTAATTAATTACATTGTCATTTAATTAGGTTGTATTACATTAAATTTTGTTTTTAACCCTGGCTTTAGCCAGTTCTTCTCAGAGTATGGTCCAGGACCCTCAAAAGGTGTGTGCCTTGGCATAGAAAAAGCGACAAAACAATCTGGAATCTTAGTTGGTTAAGTGGCAACCATCTGTCTTTGAGTGGGCTTTTCTCATTTCTTGAACATTGTTTCCAAGCTGTGTGAGCAACTTCTGGTTCAATTCTATACTGATTGCCAAAAACAGCAATTAAGAGAGGTTCTTTGTGATCTTTTTCATCTGCAAAATTTATGAACTTCTTTTTCTTGCTTCTTTCCCTCTTGTGGTCCTTACCTTTCTATTAGCATTTTTTTAAAGTTCTGATAGAAAGATCATAAGGAGACAACAGAGCTCTTGACAAAATTGTTCTTGAACAATTGCTGCGCATTGATCTTGGTTGGTCCCTTGGACTACTGAGTGGGTCCGAGAGATGAAGTGGCAGAAGTAATGCTTGGAGTACAGGTGTTGGAAGATGAAAAGTGAACCTGATTGAGCATTAGGTGTGAATCCACATTCAGGCATGCATCATGGCAGTAAGGAGGCCCATAGTAGCTCTACTTCTCCCTTATTGCACTGTTGGGCTGGGAAAAGGTGAAAGTGTGGCTGGATCCATGCTGGATCCAGTGCCTCTCTGCAGTGGGGAATGAAACTGGCAGGCTTGAAAGAGGCTAGGGTATGCCCCTTCCTAAAGAGGCCTTCTCTGGTTCCAGACATATGTGATAAATACTCTTCAGTTTCAAATCTTCCCTTCTTAGAGAAGGTTGTTGAGAAGGGGGAGGGGATTCAACTACAAAGTACCTAAGATTATTTGGATCCCTTTCAGTCTTAGCAAGAGGCAACAGTTCACACCTTCATTGGCCTCATCAAACCTAGATGGGGATAGTGGACACCTTCTCCCCAATAGGTAAAGTTATAAATCATGATTTAAGTTGGCTCATTTAGACAAATCATAATTAAAATTAATCACAGTTTTCCTTGGTTTAGGCATAATCACTTATGCTTTCAATTTGGTTCATATGAACAAAGTTTATTAAATTTAAGCCTTTCATGTTCTGGCAGAACAATTTGTGGGATTAAATCAGAAATGAAAACTTCCAATCTCCTTGTATACCTTATTCTCATCTCTGTGCACCAGGCTGAGGCAAACTGCAAAATCAGAGTTTTACGTAACTTATGCCCTTTTTTGAGTCTTCAGAGCTTTTCCCACCCCATTGTTGCCATAATCCTTCCCTATTTTTACAAGAGAAACATAAAAAATGTAGCGCAAGTCTGAAAATAGGCATATTGCAGTGAAGAAGAGTCCTTCGACCCAGACCCAGCTACCTGTGCAGCGTGGCCTTACTAATTTTGTATTCATTCATTCATTCATTCATTCATTCATTCATTCATTCATTCATTCATTCAGTATAGCTGATCCACTTGCACAATGCTCTCAATCCATTGTTCAGTGCTGCCTTGGCTACTCAGTTTGCCCAACCCTGTTGTATACCATAGTTTATTGTGACATCCAGATTGGCTCACTACCTTGTTCAGGTGTAAACTAGCGGGGATCTTCTGTACCACGTTCTACCCTCCCCACTTTAAGCAGTATTGTATGCCAACCTCTGGATTTTTCCATAACGTGAAATTAATCATAAGTTCTCTGAACAAACAAAAATCCTAATGTGTTCTGTCATTCAGATGACTTTACTTTTATTGCTTTTCCTACTGTGATGAAAACTTTTGCAGGTTTTTTTGTGGTCAGAAGTCAGTTTTCAAGTCATGATCCCCAGAGTTTATCCAACTTTAAATTCAGATTGAGATTGAACAAAACAAATGATCATGAGGTCAGATGAGGGCGCACATGACAACTATCCTTATTGTATTATGCCAGGACTCCAAGTAAGTTCAATAGCCCATGTTACCTTAATGGACCTTCCCATCGTGGCTACTGATGTCAGAGCTCTGTGGTCAAGGCTTGTTCTAGGCTATAATTATTTGATGTAGAAACAACCCCCAAACCATTGGTTTCAACTACTAATAGAAACAACCCAAAAGTAACAGCAGCACCAGCATATGGTACTACTTTTGACCCAGGGCCAGATTCACCCTTTGAGATATGCCAAGGGCTGCATTCCAAGAAGTAAGTAGGACAAGACAAAATTAGGTTTCATTGGATTTGATTTCAATTTCAACCATATTAAATTAATTCCATGAAATTTAATAACTAATATAATCGTTATTATTGTAATATAATATCAATATAATAACAAATAATAACTAATTCCATACAATTAGTCCCCATCGGGAGTGACTGGTTTTTCCTTTCTCTTATAGACTATAATATTCTGACAGTCTAGTACCCTGTGTGAGTGTGTGCCTCTTTGCCTGCTCATTCAGTCAGGGACTTTTCCCATCATTTTGGATGAAGGTAGCTTGGTGAAACCATCATCCACTCAGTTCAGACTAGCATCAAAGAAGCAACACTGATGTCAGTTTAGGAAGGCAAGAATCCTTGTGGGCAGAAATGGCAACTACTGCTGCCCCTTTCAGTAGTCGCTGCCTGAGACAACTGTCTCATCCGGCCCCATTCCAGAAGTGGAGCCCCACAAATTCTGATGATTCCAGAGATGCCACTGAATTAATTGTCCATCTTGAAGACATTTCAGGAAAACACTGTTAATGATATATTATTGAATTAAAAAACAACAATGAAGTGTTTCTGTTCCAATGGCTTCACAAAAAACTTTATCAGTCTATGATAAGGCAGATTTTATAAATAACCAGAACATTTAGTAGATTTTCTGTTTAATATCATCACTTTTTCTCAAATATCTACTCAGTCCAGGATTTAATTTGAGCCACCCTAATTGAAGTTAACAAGTTTCTTATCTTATGACTGATATTTTTAAAAGCTTTGTGTGATACAGGGATAGCGTTTTAAATTCATATTGAGAATACAGAAACTAGAAGATTTAGCCTCACGCAAGCAAGATACTTATCACACTCAGCTCCACCCTGTGTTTCTTTTGATATACATCAAGAGAACAGATAAAACAGGAACACCAGACAGTTAAACAAAATCAATATGGTTTGTTCATTTCCCTCCTGTATCTATGGTGCTTTTGAAAAATTATTCTTTTCTAAATTAAAATTCATGTTGGACTTTAATGGTAAATCAAGGTTTGGTTTGCTTCGGACTTAGATGAAGATCACTAGGAAATACCACAACTGCAGACTAGATGAGGACATTAAATTCCAGAAGGTGACAGTGGCAAACCATTTTTATATGGCTACAAAGAAACGTACATGGATGGGCCCATGAAGTCACCAGAAGTTAAGCTTCACTTCATTCCCTTTAAGTAGCAATTAGTAACCTGGTTTATAGAGAACATCAGGATTCTGAGAAAAAAAAAAGATGAGAGTCTGGCAATGAAGTTCATTTAAAACAAAATTAAATCAAGGTGCCTTCTACTTCCTTTGTTAGTACTTGCTTGGGCGATCAATCTCTGAGAGATCAGGAACAGCCTAGAGTTCACACATTCTACATCCTTAATGTCCAATAGTTTATCTCTATTCTGTGCTTGCAGCAAAAGATTTGTGCCCTCCTATTTGGTTGTTGCAGGAAGGGTAAGAAAAGCATTACAAATACACTGGTTATACTTTGCACGCCTATTTACACAATAAACCAACAATCAAACTAATAAGCTGATGAAGATCCTTCTGTTTCCTCCATGGAACCTGAATCTAACAACCAATGGAAAAAGATCCTTCCTGTCCCCAATCAGTAGTGATTCATTG